TGTATTCCATAGCCGCATTTTGCCGAGCAAGCGCTCCACTCACTCCATTCAGTAAAACCACCATCAATTACTGTGGTTATAATAGCATAATCAATAAGAGGACTTGAGGGTTGGGGTTCGAAAGCAATCCTTTAGTTCGCTTTAGTTTGGTTCATCTAGCCCCTTTGAACTCTAAGCGGTTTGTTTCTTTTTTCTTTGAGTTCTTCTCGCGGTATCCTCTTTTCTTCGCCTTAGTGCTCGACACGTTGTGCGCTAGCATATGACTTACTGCATTTACCAAACTGTCCCTAAGCGAGAAGAACTCAAAGCAAGAATAAACAAACCGCCTAGAACTCAAAAGAGCTAGTATCCGCCATAAACTGTTCCTTTGTAAAGCAAAATGTCTTTTGAGTTCATGCCAGCCTTAAAATAAGTTTTGATCCGCTGCTTAGGTTAAAGGGTTTTATCTTACTTGAGACACAACCGTAGAGCTCTATTCTCATTGAGATGTGTCCATGCCATCCTTGTGGAAGGATGCGGACGTACTGTGCCTTGATTGATTTTATCAAGTCGTTGATAACGAGGGTATTCTGATCTTTACTCCCAACATATTCCTAAAATTGCAATTAAACGAAACGAAATTATATTGACACGACCTGTTATTGGTGGGTTAGGTGGCTGCTTCCTTGAGCACTATTATCTTCGGCAAGTAGAGAGTGAAAGCGCCTCTTCTCCTCTCACTAAGGATGTCTGTCAGTTAAGGGCACTTAACGCGTCTGAAATCTTTTTCCTGAAGATTTGCTACCCTCCCTGTGTGTACTGTCGGATGTGAAGGAGCGCCCTGAGCGTAACTTTTTGGCAAAGAATGCCACTAAAACTGACCTGATCAGGTTCCCAACAGTGGTAGGCAAAAGCTACTCAAAATAAAATGTTTTCACTTCAGTCATTTTTGTCGATGCCTACCTCTTTCACAAATACCTTTTCATTTCCGGTAACATAGTTTGGTACTTATTTGATGTCGAGTGTGAGGGAATGAGGTTTAAAATCTATGAAAGAACAATTCACCTGATTCTGAATTGCAAAGTGTTGACCATCCTGGCTGTACGACACTTTATAGCTTGTGACCCACTGAGCGTAATCTTGACGACCCTGGATCCCTATCTTGGTCACCGTGGTAATTTTTCCAAGATTTACTTGAATCCATTGTCCCTTGTCGTTTGTCTTCGCAGACCAGGCCCCTGTTCTTCCACCTCCGGCCATGCGGTATATTCTGGCATTATTTGGTCCATGGTTTGCATCCCACTGATTTGTTAAAAAAAAAAAATTACACCTTTTTTCCATTACATTGTTACTATGCTATTTAAATTATTGAGGACTGATGAGAGCATTTACACTTTTCCTCTATGAAGCTCATTCATAAAAAAGGCCTAATCGTGATCGGTGAGATAAGTTTCCAATTATATCCCTTTAGTTTAACCTGGAGCTTATAACTTTAGGTCAACCTACCATTGACGAAGCAGTTATTGCTGAATCTGGTAAGTAGTTATTCTCCAATCCCAAGGGCAACGAACATTCTAATAAGATAAAAACATCAAGTTAACTTTTAAAATGCGTTTAATTAATTAAATATGATCAGGTTATTAACAACAGCGGCCTCTCTGACCTACGTAGGTGAATTCAGTCGCAAATAACGTAAATTAATGACGTATTTATCTATCTAAATGGAGACAATGGCAAACGTTTGCTGAGGAACCCTCGCACTCCCTCAGGACGAGTACAAGGGACCCATAAATAGAGGTGTCCCCTCATGGAAGATGACTGCGAAAATTCTCTCCTGCGTGGGACGCCTATCATTCCGGTAACACGTTCCTCTGACAAAGGGACAACAATATTGATCTCAGTGAAATATAAATTTTTCGTACACCGCTACATCGTTTATTTTCATTGCAGGGACAAGGAAATTCAAGGAAACCTTTTCTTCACTCCTGAAGCCTCCTCTTGAATAGCGAAGTCCCCTGGATACTCTGCTGAGTGCTGATACGATCGCCATTTATGTTCAATACGTTTTGAAGGATTTGGCAACATTTTATTTATTGGAAGAAACCACCCAGACTAAGCGATTTGCAGTTACCTGTATGGATCTCACAGCCATAAAATTCCATTCTCATAGACATGTGCCCATGCCAAGACACAGGATATATGCGAACGAAACGCGCCTTGATTGGTCGAATCAATTCATTGACGATTACACTGTTTCTGTCGGTATTTGCATCATACACCTGCAAAATACAACATCCTCAAAATTAAATGGCACTTAACGATTACGATGTCTTACCTTATATTTTGGATTTCAATCAAGAACTGTAACCTTGCTAATTATTGAGTAGTGGCTATCGTTAGACGGAGGAAGTAATAAAGATGACAATATATATTTTTTACAACTTTATTGGGTTTATAACATAGTACTAACTACAAAAACATATCACATAGAGAAAAAGATAAATGAAGATAGGAAAAAAAGTAATTCTAACTCGAAAGGGCAGGTGCGACCGGGACTGGCGTCCCATGCGAGGCATCGTTAAAATAAAATAAAACACGAGAAATCTAAATCACAACGAGTCTTTGCGGTGTCAGCAGCACCTGTAGCTTGTGGCACGAGCAAGTTCCAACTAGTGTCCACGTGCAGGGCTAATCAATGTCAAAGGACGTTCTCAGGCGCTCAAAAAGTGTTTGTTTAACGAAAAGCTGGAAGGAAAGCGAAGAGGGAGCAACAAAACAAGAGTAATTCCAAAGTTTTAAAATGCGATTAAAGTAGGAGGCCTGAAAAGCGCTCGTTTTACAGATTAGTGTTTTTGAATTAAAGAAGTTACTTAGTCTAGTAGGGCCGTGAGTAATTAATTTGGTGAAACTATGTACATCAAGGTGAGTATGATTAAATAACCACTTATTGAGGAATACCAAGTCTTTCAGTTCTCTGTCAAAGGTAAGAGGGAGTAAGTCCAGGGTAATGAGTCTGAAGGACATCTCGCCAATCCGGTTTTGTAAGGTCCATCTGGTAGTGCCGCTGCACTCGCTCGACTTGTGCCTTCAGGGAAACCTGAGCAGGCGACCAGACTTGAGTAGCGTGGCAGAGTTGTGACTTGACTGGTGATAAGTATAACGTGCGCCGGGTAGACGTGTCAGTTAGATAGAGAAATGTCCGCTTTAGGAGCCTAAGGAGATTGTTGGCTTCAGCGGTGATGGTGTATATATGAGAGTGCCGATACAACGTACTCGTAATTGTAACTCTTTTTCCGCGGACACTTGCTCAAGTTGTGTATTGTCTATGGTGTACTCGTAAATCAAGGGGGTTTTCTTCCGCGTCACAGTAAGCGTTTTACATTTCGAGGTGATGAAGTTGATGTTATTTACCTTCGACCAGCATTCAAGTTTGCTAGAGTGGTCTCCAGAGACAGGCAATCGCCGACAGAGCTGACGTTTTTATACAACTTGGTGTCATCAGCGGATAACACTGCCCTAACCCCGCCTAAAGTTTCACCCGGGAGATCGTTAATAAAGATCATAAACAATAACGGCCCCTATTAAAAGGATGTTAATGATAACGATAATGATTATCGTTATCATAGCAATTGAAGTGGTAGTTCTAATTGACACGATATTGATAATGATAGGTTTGCTTTAATTCTTTTAGTTTCAGTCCTCTTCCTTAAATATCGGTTAAGACGAGGCCCTTTCGTAATGTTACTTAGCCCTTTAACTTCCAGATCAAATTTCTAATTCTCCTTACTGTCAGCCACAAAATTCTTATAATACTAGTTCAGAGAATTTAGTATTGGATCAACTAATTATCCCTAAATTGATATTTTTCTTTATTTTCGTCACTTATCTGGTTGATATTGTATTGATATTGTAGGGAGAAATTCTGTCCCGGTCACTCATGAAAGTTAAAAAGTTATGCAATTAATTTTCGATTTATTTCATAAGTTACCTTGTTTTGAAATTCAAAATGACTTCCGTACTTGCTGTAAGCCACTTTAAAGCTCTTTACCCACTGATCATAGTCGTACCGTCCCTGAGTTGCCACCATGGCGACAGCTGTCGTTTCACCAAGATCTGCTTCCAACCACTGACCTTTATTGTTCAGTTTAGCAGACCAGGCTCCACTCCTTCCACCACCTGACACACGATAGAGTCTTGCATTGCTGGGTCCATGGTTTCTATCCCACTGACAACATAACGGAATGAGCGTATTACTTCTGCATTACACTACGTAGATCGCTGTCATCTCTGCATGACAACGACGACAAAATTACCCAATCACTGAATTGTAATCGTTTGGTAGAGAAGAAGAATTGTAAGGATATTTCTTACCTCAGAAGACGCAGTTAGTGCCGAGTTAGGTAATTTCTTATTGGTTAGTCCGAGCGGCGATACACATGCTAAAACATATAAGTATCTATGTATCATGCATTGCTCTGTTGTATTATAAACAGAATATGGCAACGTTACGTTACTCATTAATTAAAAATTAAATGTGTTCTTGCCCATGGTTTGCGTATGCTCACAAGCTCCATAGGAAAACATCATCAACACGACTCGGCATTTATCTCATAATCACAGGATGAAAATTCATGATTAACAGCTATAGCCTGGTACGTTTACCATCAGCGTGCCCATCACAGTTGAAATATTAGCTAAAATAATAATAATAATAGTAACAATTGCGCCCAACATTTGCAATGGCCAAAATGCCTGAACGAACAAACAAACGAAGAATAAATTGAGTAAAAACATCAAACTCTACCTTCAAAAACATCGCATCCATACAGTTCAAACCGCATTGAAATGTGGCCATGCCATCCCTCAACATTTATCCTGAAAAAACGAGCTTCAGTGGGTTTGACGAGGGTATTGACAACAACACTGTGTTGATCGCTGTTAGCTGAGTAAACCTGGAAACAAGTTTAAAAAAAAATTTTCAGGAAGACAGTTTAAAGCCAAGTGCGCATTTAGCTGAATTACCTATCGTAAACCATGTTCCACAAATAAAGTTGAACTTGCTCGCAAAATATTTCTTCTTAAGAACAAAAAGAGTATCTTTACATATATATCTTACGGGTTTTAGTAGCCTGCAAAGCAGGTGGTTTGGCGAGCGAGTGCTCAGTATTTTCTTGACAAAAAATAATGGCCGCCATTTGATTTAAATGGCAGCGAAAGGTTGAGGAGAAAAATAAATCTGTACCTAGGGGGTAAGTTGACGGTCAAAATAAGGAGAGGGGTGGGGTGTCTAACCTAACTTCCAAATCAAATATGGCCCGTCGGGTAAACGATCACGAGCTTATAACGTTAGCTCACCCTAATAAGACGCCTGCACTCGCAGGCTAGCGTGCTAGTTGCTGTTGGTTTTATGAATACACTCCCTTTTTAATTTCATGCAGGTTACCCAGCACATGCGAGATTCGAAGCACAGAATCGCCCATTTCTAAGCAATTGTGGGATTTCCGAAATCAGAGCGATCTAAGAATGAATTAAGATTTATTTTTTAAGAATAATGTTTAACATGTATTCGCCGAAGGCGAAGAAAATATTGTTGAATAATCCCCGAGACAAAATCGAGGGAATTATTCAGCAATATTCACTTAGCCTAAGATTAGTAATTGTTTTAATATAATTTCTTACGTGCTTTCGAATCCTGTTGTAAATTCGCTTTGTTTTTTGTAATCATTCTATCAAAGTTGTTTGATTACTCGAATAGAGACAAGCTCCACTCTCCCCTAGAATTTAACAGGTTTATTTATTTCAATCAGCAAAAACTTGACATCTTTATTTTGAAAACTGTTAAACCAAACTTCGATTTTACTTCTATTCCGTTTGTCACTTCCTCGGTGGCCTGACAAAACGCAAAGCTGCTATTTTGAAATTTCATGCTGATGCTATAATCATCTTGAGCAAGATAATTATAGCGCGATATGACGAAAACCTCGAGCAATCAGAGCACAAGCAACTCTGTTATCACTGGAACAATTTTGGTCATTACTCTTAGAGTCATTGAAATAATAATGATAATTATATCAATGATAAGTTCTGCATTGGCGTTTGACTCTCATCGCCTGCTTCTCGTTCCTTAGCCAAAAATTTTAATTTAGGGATTACTTTACGCTTGGTATTGAACGAAGGGTCAGGGCGAGTACTTACAAATTGAAACCAACGATTTTGACAATAAAAGTATTAGAAAGTAACAAGAATTACTACATTTGTGTCCTTAAGGTGGTTCGAATCAAGGGAAACAAGCAATCCGCCTTACGTATTTCCTTTGTTTTATAGTATCTTCCACGAAGCAGCAAGTCTAATTTCCAAGAATTAAAATGGTATTCAATGACCTATTAAAATCAAATTGAAAGCTCTCCATTGTATCGGAATAGGACATGATATTACATGAAGTTTTCTTGATGTAACTCACATGATCGTGGGACTTAAACGTCTTTCCAAATGTGCTATAAGACACTCTGTATCTCGTTACCCACTGTGCGTAGTCTGAACGGCCTTGACTAGCAATTTGCGTCACTCTCTTCATTTTTTCAAAATCCACCTGAATCCACTGTGATTTTGCATTTGTTCTGGCAGACCAGGCACCAGTTCTTCCTCCACCTGCCATAAAGTACAGCCTCGCATTTGAGGCTCCATGATTTGCAGCCCACTTTGTGAAGAGAAAATGAAAGCGTTGTGAAAATGAGGTGGGTCAAAGTTGATAAAATTCATTCAATTAATGTGGGCTATTCAGAAAAGACCTGTTCTGTGTATTGAGTGGATTGAATTGGGAATAAATAAATAAAATTGGTTCCTATTAACTGTTCTACTTAATTTTTTTTGGTTTTTTTTTCCGATTAAAATTACATGTAAGTGTAATGGAAACCTAAATCAAAAGCAATGTTGTAAAAGACATTCATAGAGAACAGATATTTGAAAAGGAGACTATGAAAACGGAGTCGAAGACGTCGCTATTAATTTCGCATTTTAATCTGATAGTTTCAGTTGCCGGTGTTAGTTTTCTTGAACGATCACAGAGCGAGATAAAACACAACAAAAAGTAACCCCAGATCAAAAATTGCTTTATGTCGCGTAGAATGACTATATGAGAGAAAACCGATACATAAAAATACCTCAGACGAGGCTGTAATTGCGTAGTCTGGTAACATCTTATTTTCCATTCCCATCGGTGAAGTACAATCTGAGAACAAAGATAATACTGAGCACTCGCCCGCCAAAATTACGCCTTCTCTACAGGCTATGCTATGATCAAGCTCGTTTACCAGCTAAAAGTCTGTTAGAAACTCTTCGGATCTGAAATCTTCAAGAAAAATTCCTCAATTTTCAACCACAAGTCTAGACAAGACTAGAACTTCTATAGACTGCTTTAGTGAGGTAAAATTGAGGAATGGTAAATATATTCATTCTGGTACCATACTTTTCGCTGATAGACTTCAGAGAATTTCCTCTTCTATTCGATAAAGATGACCTAGAAGCCTTATGACCTAATAATTAATAAAAGACTGACCTGCTTGCAAACTGCAGCCGTACAGTTCCATCCTCAAAGATATGTGACCATACCACTTCTGGGGATGAAGACGTATGAAGTGCGCCTGTATGGGCTTCTCTAAAGCGTTCACCACAACTGTATTCTGGTTGCTGTTAGCTTGGTACACCTAAACAAGTATACCGAATGCATATATCGTAAAACGACCATGCCTCCTCTGGAAAACAAAGCCAGCGGCTTCAACTTCGTTAGCACTGACCTTGTTCTGAAATATAAAGTTAGTTCCGTCCACGCTATATGAAACTTTGAATTGGGTCACCCATTGCGCATAATCCTGTCTTCCCTGCGTTAGAACCTTTGTCACTTTGTATCTTTCACGAAGATCCACCTGAATCCATTGTGATTTGTCATTTCTCTTCGCAGACCAGGCACCAGTCCTTCCACCGCCTGCTGGGCGGTGCAATCTTGCATTAGAGGCTCCATGATTTGCTGCCCACTAAGTTATAATAAACCAATGAATTCAAAATACTTTGTTTTACAGATAATTTCTATAAATGAATGCTGCATCAAGATTTTAAAATGATGTAATCAAATCTAATTTACCATAGCTAAGCAGGTTTCTCGCACAGTTTCTTACCTCAGTAGATGCTGTTATGGCGTAGTCGGGGATGAGCTGGTTTTCCATACCCAGAGGTCTGGAACATTCTGAAAGGCAATTTATTTTCATTTGCTCAGTTAATAATTTTATAATTTCGAACGTAGTAATGGTTGTATGTAGAGTGTTGATATCACTTCACAAAAATAGTTTTCTAGTCATAGGACCTCTCAAAATTTTCAAACATTTACATAATTCTCCACAATGTCGCACTCTATGTTCTGATGAGTGTTTTAACATTTTAGACCACGCACCTACAACTTTCCAACGTAAGACCAATGCAAAGAATCTATCCACGTTCAATGGGAGCAACCTACTCGTAGTCATCAAATTTGTCATGTTGATTCAAAACTTTCGTTGTAATTGCATACATTGTTCCGTTACTATTGTTTGTTTTTTCCAATCAGCATTTTGTTATACACTTTAGATTCAACTTTGCACTTAGTAAAATCAGAACCAATTGTCCGCGCATTGGCAACACGCTCCCTCATTCACAACCCCCCATGTAAGCATCCCCAACCACCCCCACCCCTTAAACGTTTCTCTCTCTCTTACTGTGGTTTTAATTCCTAGGTAACTATAAGTTGGTAACGAAGTAAAGATCACCTGATGGTAAACGGCAGCCGTACAGCTCCATCCTCAGGGATATGTGTCCATACCATTCAACTGGATTGATGCGAACTACACGAGCTATAATTGATGTTCCTAAATCGTTTAAAACGATTCCGTTTCGGTTGTTGTTTCCTTGGTATATCTATGAAAATTTACATGCAACAGGTAATTGAAAAATCTAGGCATATCATGTCTGCTCTAATCATCGATACATCGATTATATAATGAAATGCATTACGGAGATTTATTTTTAACAGGTTATGACAATAGGCCATTTTACAGTTGTGTACTTAGTTGCCAAGCCTTTGATTTGGAGTGAGGCTGAAGGTGACCTTGTTGTGTTAGAGACCAGAATCTAGTTAGCATGATAACAAATTAATTTGCATTTCAAAAGCAGCAAGGTTTGTATCATAACAAGGTCACCCTCAGCCTCACTCCTGTTCAAAGGCTTGGCAACCAAGCACACAACTGTAAAATGGACTATTGTCACACAGCAATTTGTGTCATAGCTTAATTATTAAGATGCTATATAGGCATTGGTATAAATAGTTATAATTATTATGATGAAGATAACAAATGTAATTACAATAATAACAACAATAATGATAATACCAGTAATATCCTGGGTGATAACGGGAAGAAAAGAGCGACTATAGCGTCTTAATTTTAGAGTAAGTAGATTTCTTGATCCTTAATTCAAGCGTTGCCATAATGAAACTGGTAAGCACCACTCTTTTAGTTAGGTGACATATAATTCACCTTGCTGAGGATAACGAAGTGAATACCATCACGACTGTAAGACACTTTGAACTTGGTAACCCACTGATTGTAGTCATATCTACCCTGGATACCAACTCCTGTCACTTTAGTGACTTCAGAAAACGTCACTTGAATCCACTGGTTGGCATCATTTCTCTTGGCTGACCAGGCACCAGTTTTCCCACTGCCACTGGGTCTGTTAAGTCTGGCATTGGTTGGTCCATGGTTGGCGTCCCACTTGGAGCAATAATGTAAACAAATTTTATTACTAAGAGATTGATCGATTTCTGTCAATCAGTCATCCAACCACCAAGTCACTCATTTACTCGATAGATAGATCCATCGATCCATCGACCAACCTATCAGTCGATTGTTTGTTTCGATTATTCATTCATTCCATCGGTTTGAAGGGGTAATTTGTAGGAACATGGTCCGACATTCATTCATAAAACTCATATAGTTAGTCTCACATTTACGTTCCGAGGAAATTGTAGCAAAGGGTACGGCTTTGAAAGCTTTGCATAAGGTCAATAAATTCTGAATTAATGCTGCATTTATATTAACGAAGAAATTCAAACTCTACGGTTCGTGATAATGCTTTCATCCATAAAGAATTTTCTGAAAAGTAATTTAATAATGAAAAAATCAATGACATATAACCGTTGTTTTACCTCTGATGAGGCTGTGATTGCTGAATTTGGGATCCTGTAGTTTTCCATACCCAGGGGAGATTTGCATTCTACAAAGTCAAAAAAGGAAGAAGTGGACAAGCAGGTAATCTTAACTACACTGATTTATGATAGAGAAAAATTGGGTGGTTACCTTAATGGAAAAAATGCAAGAAATGTGTATAGAGTATTGCCGTTTGAATAAACGTTAGCATGCTAAGATTTTCACGAAAAGGTACCAGCGAAAGCAAGTGGCTAACAGGGGCTCTGACAGCAATTTTCATATCACCTTGTCCTAGTGTGCAACCATAAAGCTCCATTCTCAACGAAATGTGTCTATGCCAGACGTACGGATGAAGGCGGATGAACCGGGCCACGATTGGTTCTACCAAGGTGTTCACGACAACACTGTTTTGGTCATTGTTTCCATTGTATATCTGTAGAAAAAAATATAAGCAAAGAATACGTTTCTAGAGAGTTTGGCTTAATAGCAAAAAAACTGATGTTTAATCAAGTTCTGCTGTACCCTTTTTAGATTACTCCTTTATGCTTAGTGTATTTACGGATTAAGTGTTTCAAAGGATTTGATTATGATATGATCTGACGATATTACACCCCGATCCAATCATATTCAATTCTACATCCGGCTGATAAATCGAAATTGACAAGATAAGTTGCATGCTAATCGTTAAGATAACTAAGGGGTTTTCCCTCTCTATTCAGTGTAGATTTTCATTGCAATAATTTGAACAGTGTCGGGTTGCAACTCTCTGTGACATACAAGGGTTACTAAATTCCTTTTTGTGCGCTCAAGGCCTTTTATTTCTTTTATTTAGTACCTTAAGTACTAAATTATTTAGCCCTCTGAAATGATCTATAAACTCAAGAAGTCCACATGCTGGAGGATATCATGAAATTCTCTTGCCTACATGTTTTGGATTAATTATGATTTCAATTCAGAGAGATACCTTTTCTTGATATTTAAAATGTTTTCCATCCAGACTGTAAGATATTTTAAATGCAGTAACCCATTGTGGATGGTCTTGTCTTCCTTGAATTGCCACCTTAGTCACACGAGTCAGTTGACGAAGGTTCACCTGTATCCACTGTTTCATGTCGTTTGCTCTGGCAGACCAGGCTCCAGTCTTACCTCCACCAGCAGGACGATTGATCCTTGCATTGCTGGGCCCGTGGTTTGCATCCCACTAAGGAGAGCAGGAATATGAAAATGGTTAGTATCGATTTCCCTACTAGAAAAGACGAATCATTCATCATTAAGTATTAAGAGACAATCGCAGAAAGCGTCTATATTTAAAAAATATCTACAGCCTCAGTAACTGATATCGATCCATTTTTCTATTCACCACCTGTTGAACTTACTTCGGAAGAAGATGTAATGTCGGAGTTTGGAATATCTCCACTTTGTATTCCCAGAGGGGTGTCACAATCTAAAATGAATTAAATCGGTCGTTTTACCTCCATGTACTAACACAGGTAACCTAACGTTGTAATGGAATATTTCCTGTGGCCCCTTCCTGTGGGAGTATTTCGCTGCACCAATTGCAAATCAAGGCGTGTACCTCCAGGATCATATCCATGCGGGAAAAATAACAGTGAGGATAAAAAGTATGTCTCCAACGTATAAGAAGGCAAAATGAAAACTTAGTTAAGTTCGGCTTCGGAACTATTCGGGATGAGGTCCTTCTTGAGTCAATGGTGAGATAGGTTACTCTAGTGAAGATTACCACTTTCAGCCATAAGTTAATCCAGCCCAGCGAACGTATTCGTTCGACTGCTTGTTATCAACTAAGTTGAATTTGAATTGTTTTGAGTTTCATTAATCATTTGGAAACGAACAAACCGTCGCCTAAACTAAAAGAGAAAGGGGAATAAATCCCCCAAGAAAAGACATATTTATATATTATGAGAACAAAGAAGATATCTTTTTCGTCTTACTGTGTCTAAATAAATCAACCGTCAATAGCCAATTCTACAAACTTTTATTTCCGTTGTGAAACAAGAGTTTTTTGTAATAAACAGGGATTGGTTGTATCCCTCTCGTTTTATCATTCTTTACCCCTGCAAGGTTGCATATTACAGGACTCAAATTCCTCCATAGGTCCCAGGGATGAGCAGTCTGAACCACCATTCTGTGGAACAGGATTATTGCATGATCGTCTCCTTGAACGTGATCCTCTTCCACATGACACCGAGCATTCTCCCCAGTCTTCCCATTCGGAGTAACCACCGTCGATAGCCCCTAAATTGCCACGAAATTAAAGCAATTCTGTTAGTTTTGTTATGAGGAGAAAAGGAATGGGCTGCTAATTAAGGAATTATCACCTGAAATGTCGCAGCCGTACAACTCCATCCTCAGAGAGATGTGTCCATGCCATTCTTGAGGAAGGATTCGGATATACTGTGCCTTAATTGACTGGGCCACATCAGTTATGACAAGAGTATTTTGATCCCTGTTTCCTGAAAATTTCTGAAATGGTATCGCATATCAAACAGCTTCAAAAACACATTGTTTCTCGAGTAGGAATTTTCCCTCGAAACTACGTTAGCATTAAATATATGTACTTTCAACATGGTCAAATCCAAGGTACTGCTGTTTATAACTCATGAAACTTCAATGCGACTTTTGATCAATCTGATTTCGTCAAAGTTTCGAGGTAGATCATATTTTCATTCAAAATAGAAAAAAAAAGTTTTCACAGGTTTTCTACTTTTGGAAAATCCGCGTGTGTGGACTCGAGTCATCGAGCATAAAACCAGCCGTTGAATCTTTTTCCAGAGTACTATCACCGGTTGTTGTAATAAGATTTCATAAAACGAATTAATTGTGATCATTTAAAAAAAGCACGCATCCCGTATCGCAGAGATTTTTGATTCAGGGTTGATATTTTCATTAATTTGTTTAGCTGACCTGACTCCGTGACCTCCGTCTAAAAAATGCAGGAAATGCAAACTAATTAAGAGCTTAAAAGTGGCAAGTAAATAATGCTTAAAGGGTGGTTTTCGCTCACCTGATTTTGAACTGAAAAGTGCTGACCATCCGTACTGTAAGCCACTCTGTACTTGGTGACCCACTGGGCGTAATCCTGACGACCTTGCATTCCAATTTTGGTCACCTTCATAGCTTTTCTAAGATTTACTTGAATCCATTGTCCTTTGTCATTTGTCTTCGCAGACCAAGCTCCTCTTCTTCCACCTCCAGCCATGTGGTAGATTCTGGCATTGTTTGGTCCGTGGTTTGGATCCCACTAGTTTAAAAAAAAAAAGTTTTATCAATGATTTAAGTTTTGAAGTAAGACGGTAGATTAGTAGTATTTTCATAGGACTAATGATAACAGTATTGAAATTGCTCTTTTTCCTTCTCGGTTTTTTTCCGGTGTATTTCTTTCTTCTGCTCTATGGAGCGTATACCTTTTTTTGGTCTCCTTTAATTTCAGAACAGTTTTGCACGATACAAAAACTGGCTCAAAGAACTTTCATAAGGGAAGCAACATCTTCAAACAAGTTCTGGTCATTACAAACTTTATATTTTTCTGTAAAATTAAGGGAAAAATACATTTTCTAGAGTCTTAAAAACAAAATTATACCGAGATAACCTACCCATGAAGAGGCTGCTATGGCTGAGTCAGGTATATGGTAGTTTTCCATTCCCAGGGGAAGATTACAACCTAATAAGGATGTTAAAGGAGAAAGAAACGAAAATGGGAAAATTTTTTTTTTAAGCCGCACTTTGATTTTAAAACCAGACCAGTGATTCTATCGCCTAAAGCTCTGGGTAAGAAAAATTTATATTGGGGTTCCCTACCTGGGGTGGCAAAGACTTAGAAATCCAAAGCTATCTGATAATAAATCTTTTAGGCAGAAAGCTTTCCATCAATTACATTTCGGTTCTGACTTGATCTAGAATCATTCAATGACGTTTACATTGTTTGCTAATAGAAAAGGCACCTGGACCTCCAATAATCTTTTGTTTTGGCATTAATTTGGTAAACGTAGGCCCATTCTAAACAAGATGACCTTACCAGACCGGATTTCGCAGCCATGCAATTCCACTCTCATAGATATGTGGCCGTGCCAAGTCTCTGGATAAATACGGACGAAACGGGCTTCGATTGGTTGGATCAACCTATTCAGGATTACACCATTCCTATCTCCGTTAGCTTGATACACCTGAAAATAAGCCAAAAGCGAAGGCACATGTTTGAATCTACTGTTAACCAATAGATGAGAAGTGAATCACATATGAGATGTGTTTCTCAAGCTGGCCTCAGGCATACCATTTCCTATGTCCTTCCTTTAATTCTTATTGAAGTTAGGCGACAAGATTAGTGACTTATTTTATACACTTGGAATAATTTTTACTGCTGGCATTAGAGTAGCGGTGAAAAGTCTGGTTAAACACTACTTTTAATCAATATTATGAAATAGTCGTTTGGAATAAGATTTTTTTCGATAGGCCTGAAATCACGAACGATTTTACAGGACCAGGTACACAACGCAGGTAGAGATTAGTGGTGTCAGGAGTATAACCACGTTGACCAAGCTATGGAGAACTCTTTGTTTAGCTAAGCGATACAAGCCTAACTTCAATGCAGTTTTAAATAATTAATCCAGGTTATAACATGGAAGCAAAACTAGCAAATGTTGTTCGTCTTAACAAGGTTGTTTAGTATTATAAACTGAGTTGATAACTTAAATTGACCACCGCAAAGAGTTTTAAAGCTAACGTTTCAAGCGTTAGCCCCTTTTCATTGGTCTAACGAAGAGCTAACGCTCGAAACGTCGGCTTTGAAACTCTTAACTCAATTTACGTTATCAACTCAGTTTATAATACTTGATTACCCTGCTGTACTCTCCCGCAAGCGCAGCACCACAGTTTCTTTAGAAATGTACTCGTTATTCGTCTTACCTTGTTTTGGAATTCAAAATGATCGCCATATTTACTGTGGGCCACTTTGTAACTTTTTACCCACTGATCATAGTCGTACCGTCCCTGTGTTACTACCATTGTAACTTTGGTCGTCTCACCAAGATCAACTTCTAACCACTGACCCTTGTTATTGAATTTAGCAGACCACGCTCCAGTCCTCCCGCCACCTGAAACATGGTAGAGCCTTGCATTGCTGGCCCCATGGTTTCCCGCCCACTTGCAAAAGAAAAGAGATCCAATTTATGTATAGCTATGACAACATATGGGACAGAAAATTTGCTCTGAAATAATTTCCTTAAAAATGAATAAAGCAGTAAAGTACATGTACATATTGAAGATCCTTGTGGTTATGTGGTTATCAATAAATATAAATGAATATCAATGTAGTTATCAATAAATATAAATCAAGTGGTTATGGGAAAGTATTTGAATGATTGGTGTTTCGTGTATGAACATGGAAGTGATGGAGAAATTGTATCGAATGAAAAAAAGCTAGCTTTTTTGCATAGCTTTTTCACGTGCTTATGAATATGTATGCGCATACAGTGTGCATATGCTAAAAATAACTCTCTTACCTCAGAAGAGGCAGTTAATGCCGAGTTTGGTAATTTCTTACTGGTTAGTCCAAGGGGTGACACACATGCTAAAAATAAACGAAAATGCAATGTTAGTAAAAGGCCATTACAGTAGGAGTTTATATTCAGAGGGAATCTTTAGACAAGTGTTAGCAACGCACGGGACATATTAGATGATACTAAGTGGTCGTTAGTTGAAAAAATCCTCAAGTGGAAAAAATTATAATTTGTTGCGTAGCTCTCCAATCAATCGGTCTGCCTCCATCTCTAAAGCGTGAAAATTAGAGATAGTTTCCCTAACAATGAAATAATTTCCAAGCAATTCTGGAGAATCTAGAGGCCTTACATGTAGGTGACCTGAGTTTGGCAGTCGTGTACAAGAGATCATGGGGTGAAGCCTATTAACATAGGTGATCTTGATTTGTTTCATATACTCGTAACGGGCCTCGCTCACCATCGAGCCTCTTTGGCTCGATAGTACAGCACCGGGGCGCGGATTCCTCATGGGGACACAGAGCTGTTTTATTTTTTTTTATCTGTCCCACGCTTGTGACAAGGCGAAAAGAATTTTTCGCTATTTCTTTACCGAGCTCAAAACTTATCATCTTTTTTATTCTATGTTTCATATAATGGCGCAGACAGCAATATTTTCTTAGAAAGGTCCTTTGGTCCAAAAACTAACGTGTTAGCTTTAAAACAATAACACTTGTGCAGCTCGCTCAAAATGATGTAGTTTTCCTTTAGTAACTTATTTTGTTCAACTATTATTTATCACGAACAGTGTAACATTGGAAAGTGCATTTTCCAGGGAGAACTTCCAAATGTAAGACTCATTGCTAACCTGAATGAACATGACATCCATACAGTTCAAACCTCATGGAAATGTGACCATGCCATCCTTCAACTTTTATCCTGAAGAAACGAGCCTCAATTGGTTTGACAAGAGTATTTACAACAACGCTATGTTGGTCACTGTTGGCTTGGTAAACCTAAAATAGTTATGCAAAAGTATTGCACATGTATGTTAAAACTGAAAAGGGGAACAAATTTAAACAATGTGAGCCTTTCCGGATAGCACATCATTTCTAGTTATTGCTCAAGCTGGCGCAAAATTCTCTCTGAAGTGAACGTTAGACAAACCCCATATGTGAAAAAAGTGTATATTCACTAAAGAACAACCTCTTAATTCTGAGGGTATGATGGAACTCCCAACAAATACCACACAACAATCTAATTATCACTATCTCACATGATCTTGGATGTGGAAAACTTTTCCAAAAGAGCTGTAAGACACTCTGTATCTTGTAACCCACTGAGCATAATCTGATCGGCCTTGACTGGCAATTTGCGTCACTCTTTTGACTGTTCCAAGATCCACCTGAATCCACTGTGATTTGTCATTTGTTCTTGCAGACCATGCACCAGTCCTTCCACCGCCTGCTATATGATACAGCCTTGCGTTTGAAGCTCCATGATTTGACGCCCACTGAGGGAAATAAGATACAAATACCTCAGACTTGAAGTCTAAATAGATACTTATCCACAGTGACCCCATTTAGCACAACGGACCATCTGTTCAGCTGGCTTTGTTGAATTCCTGGTAGAGTTAGTGCCTTTGAGTTGCAAGACCTCTGTATCTGAAATTTTAGCTACTGACTGAAAGATTGATCACGTTTTTTTCCACACTACGTTCGTCCGGCAAGAGGTTGCCCACTCCTGACCGCAAAACAACTCAACAAAACTCAAGGTTACCTGAATGGATCGCGAATTGTTAGCTCATGTCTGTTCTTAATTTTTTTAGATCACTAAGCAATTTATTGCTTATTATAATTTGTCGAGGATAGCTCACCTAAATGAGCTAACTAGCAAGGATGTGCTTAGTCGTAGCCCTGTCTCGGTATAAAATACATACCATGCATATAAAGAGCGTAATTCAATCTATGACGCTCTTCAATTTAATGAGATATTTCGCACCACAAAAACGGTCTCTTTGCTAACTAACAGTTAGCATTTGTTATGTTTTTCCCACAAGTAATACTCAAAACTAAAGCAGAGACTCTATGTAACGATTAACTTACCTCAGAAGAGGCTGTAATTGCGTAGTTTGGAAGAAATTTATTTTCCATTCCCATAGGAGACATGCATTCTGTTACCAAAGAAGGCAAAACATTATGGGAAAGGTAAATGGTTTCAACTAAAGCGTAAAGTAGGGCAATGTTATATTTTTATTGAGTCAACTAACTCACGGTAATCAACCCTCCTAACTCGCTTAACATTCATGTACTATATTAATATGCAACTTTTCTAATACTGCTCCAAATGAATGCTGGGATAAGCCAACCCTGTACCAGGTCCCTCAGGGGACATGTTGTTTCGCGCGGCCTCGATCTTTGTTGTTGATGGGAGAGATGCAGAACCAAAAAAGCTTCACAAATTCTTTTAAATTTGTATATTTGCAAACATTTTTCCTTTCCATTATGGGCCGAGGAGATCACTGCTCTGTATGAGATGTGAAATGACTGTAAGCACCCCGAAAAGTACAAAATTGTACCGAAAACCTTTCATTTCCAATTTGTGGGTTCGTGCAAAAGTCCGTAATAAGTTGTTACACCTGCCGTAAAAAGTCCGCGCGTATTTCATTGCCCAGTCACCATTGCAAGAACGTATTTTTGATAAATGTATTAAGATTTTGTTCTGTAAAACTGATTCTGTAACTGGCGGCATGCATATTCTGACAGTCTGTAAGTTAAAACTTTTAAACAAATGGAAAATTTTGCATATCGTTGACGGGGAGATTTTCTGCAACAAAACTCGATAAAAGTTGAACCATTGTAGATGCTGCAAAATTTATTTGAAAATGGATATTTTAAAGGAGTTGTCTGTACAAAACTGCTTCCTTCAAATTACGACGTATTGTGTTATATCTGTGTCACTATCAAAGTTGTTTGAGCCTTTACCTACAAAAGCTTAAAATGTGACATTTATTTTCTACAAGAGAATTAACAAAACTAATGATAAACCTGAATTCAAACTGCAACCATAAAGCTCCATTCGCAAAGAGATGTGACCAAACCACTGTTTAGGGTTGAGACGTATAAAGCGCGCCTCTATCGGGTACTCTAAAGTGTTCACTACCACGGTGTTTTGATCTTTGTTGGCTTGATACACCTTGCAAAAAGATGCAAAAGAGGAGGCAGACTTTTGGTTAAAAGAGCATTTTCCTACAAAAGGACGTAATAAGATTACTGCTTTTAAATCTAATACCTCTATATTCAAATCAATATGACCGAGTTGAGTAATCCTTTTCTTACATATCAAAATAATGGCTAAGCAGTGGATAAAGCACTCTTTTTAACTTCAATGGTATTGCATACATTATCAGCCCAGCACATACCATGAAAAAAACTGTAAAAATGGAAAGTTTTGAACTTACTTTATTTTGATCACTGAAATGCACCCCATCTGAGCTGTAAGACACTTTGTACTGGGTCACCCATTGCGCATAATCATGCCTTCCTTGTGTTAAAATCTTGGTCACTTTGAATTTTCCGCGAAGATCCACCTGAATCCATTGTGATTTGTCGTTTGTCTTGGCAGACCAGGCACCAGTCCTTCCACCTCCTGCTGGGCGATGCAGTCTTGCGTTAGACGCACCATGATTTGCTGCCCACTGTGAATAAGTAATGTTTTTGCAACATGATACCATTGTGATATATAAAAAATGGAAAGAGCTTAACAGTGAAATAGTTATATAAGACAAAACTGTACGGTTTAATTTCCAGTCATAGCACCAAAAACCAGATAGTGACCAGATATGCAGTTCGTAAAAAAGTTAAATTCAACCGATGGGGAGAAGACCTTGCGCGCGGGAAAATGCGAGTGATGAGGTCGCGACTAGTTCTAGTTTTACTTGGGATTGCAATTAGCAAGACTTATCACAGGGGAAGCTCTAACAACAAAAATGTAATTGTTCATTAATAAGGATGTTTAGAGCCGTAAATACTGAGAGGAACGATAGTTGATAAAAGCAAGAAAACTAACAAAAAAAGGATAAATAAAAACTAAACAAAAGGTCTCACACGTGTGGAGTCCGTTTAACCTTATTAATTTAACCTTAAGGTTAAATTAATAAGGTTAAGCTCAAGTAAAGATAATTCTTACCTCTGAGGAAGCTGTTATGGCGTAATTGGGGATAACCCTGTTCTCCATTCCCAAGGGGGTTGCGCATTCTATAATGATACATCACATTTTCCCTTAGAAATTGAGAAGCTTAGGTCACACCTGGCTAGATAAAATTTAAATATATGAGTTTTACACTCGATTTACACTTTAAGCCTCCGGTTTGAGGGCGATGAAGAGATATCTATCAGAGGGAGGGTCGAACTCCAGATTCCATAGAAGAAAGATTGTTCTTCCTGTGATATTCATATACAAATTTCATTGTTGCTTCATTTCTCTTTCACTCTGGATCTACCATGCAAGATTAATTTTGTCAGAAACTCCACTAAATACTCTCACCTGATGACGAACGACAGCCGTACAGCTCCATCCTCAGGGATATGTGTCCATACCATTCGACTGGATTGATGCGTACTACACGAGCTTGAATGGGTGCCCCTAAATCGTTGACCACAATGCTGTTACGGTTGCTGTTACCGTTGTATATCTATGAAAATTGACGTGTAAAAACAAGGAAAAAGTTAAGAGATAAGGCTATTTAAGCAATGAATTCTAAGGGTGGAAAATAATCAACGTGCTGCTAGTGTTACTGCTATGCACAAGGTAATAAATCCAAAAGGTAAAGGATTTTGGCAAAACTCGTACAACCCTGACATTTTTCACCTCACCTCATCTTAGCTAGAAAAATCAATACTATCCAGACTAACCATTGGGTGACATTTAACTCACCTTGCCGAGGATAACGAAGTCAATACCATCAAGACTATAAGACACTTTGAACTTGGTAACCCACTGATTGTAATCATATCTGCCTTGGATTCCAACTCTTGTCACTTTAGTGACCTCAGGAAATGTCACTTGAATCCACTGGTTTCTATCATTTCTCTTGGCTGACCAGGCACCAGTCTTCCCGCCACCACTAGGTCTGTTAAGTCTGGCATTGGTAGGTCCATGGTTGGAGTCCCACTTAATACAAAGAATTAGTAGATTTGTTAGGATTGATAGTATAAACTGGACTAACTTTTTTTGGCTGATATGAATATTGCAATGTTTTGAGATCATCGTTTAATGGATAAACCTGATATGTTCAAGACTAAATCTACATCAACGATGTCAAAATTTTAAAAAATGAAACTTGAGAAAATAAAGCGAGAGTTAATCAAAATAAAAAGATAAGAGACAAAGAGAGGATACACGTGAATACTACGACAGATTGAAATTCTCGCTGAGGAATCTGGAGTAGGCTTACCTCCGAAGAAGATGCAAAGGCTGAATCAGGAATCCGGTAGTTCTCCAAGCCCAAGGGGTGAGCGCACTCTATCGAAAAAATGGGTATCGTCATTATCTATTTCCAGGTTACCATTACTGTTTATACCCTTCGCATCATTCTCTTTACATTTCCTATGTTACTGACAAGAAGAATTTGTTCGAAAATTATGTATTGGTGATCATTTCCTTTTTCCCCGTGACCTTTACATTTAATTAAGGGTAAAACTGTAAAGAGAAATTAGAGACCAGCCTCTCTCAGGAGTTAAAAGGTTAAATAAAACAGTGAAGCACTCTCTGTTGAAAACAATATGTAAACATCTTAACTTCATTTGTCCTTTACAAAATTACTAGTTTGCTTGCGTGGGTAAATCTTCCGGAGAGGACAGTAAAGGCGCTTATCTCAGAGATATTTACTGTTCGAGTGGGAAAACATCTGTCCTTCATGCAGTTAACACATTTGAGCTCAAATATTGTCGCCATGATGACACTCGAAACGGAACCTATTTAATAAGATCTTTGTATTAGCTTTTTTACCTGGCTTTAAGCTGCAACCATAAAATTCCATCCTCAAAGAGATATGTCCATGCCATGCGTATGGATGTAGACGAACGAAGCGAGCCTCGATCGGTGCCATTAAAATGTTAAAAACAATGCTGTTTCTGTCATTGTTTCCGTAGTATATCTAGACGGAAACCAGATTGATATTAAAAGGAGCGAAAATCCCAACCAAGTTAATTTTTTATCTAACAGTTTCCGTAAAATGGGATGTTTTTATAATATTTATATAATATTTATTACAGTGGTAAATAGAGGGGTCAACAGCTTAATACCCTCGCAATTAAGCATCTTAAACGCCATGGCTTCTACTTCATCTTCAACTTTCAAACTACTTCAACCTCTGTAATATTCTAATTATTCAACGTGTTATGAATTCATTAAAAATTTCGATTGAAAAAAATACCTTTTGTTGATATTCAAAGTGTTTTCCATTCAGACTGTAAGATATTTTAAATGCAGTAACCCATTGTGGATGGTCTTGTCTTCCTTGAATTGCCACCTTAGTGACTCGAGTTAGTTGACGAAGGTTCGCCTGTATCCACTGTCCCATATTATTTGCTCTAGCAGACCAGGCTCCAGTTCTACCTCCACTAGCTGGACGATTGAGCCTTGCATTGCTGGGCCCATGGTTTGCAGCCCACTGTAAACGAAATTATTATATGATATTTTAATAATTTATATGATATTTAAATAACTGTTATTTATATATTCCAACGAGAAAGGAAGATCATGATTAAGTAAGTACGATGCTTCTCGATTTTGGATCGATAAACTCTGAAAATGATATAACTGGAATGAATTTATAGGGGTAGCCGTTCTAGATTCGATTTTTTCCTCTTTTCTTCTGTCCTATCTTACTCTCAGGAATCTATGGTGTCACAGTAATGTATCTCCATTTTAAATCGTAAGAGGGCCTTCGCAATCTCACCAGTCATTTAAAATTTAATTCCAATAAGATCAAAAATTGTAAAGAAACTCTAATCTAAGATATCTGGTCGATTAATTGGCAAATAAACAAATAAATGTTTTAGCTTCCTTGCTTGATTGCAACATTTCAGACCAAGTCACGGTACTCAAAATTATCAAATGGTCTGGAATAGGAGGAAAACTAATACGTAATTCTCATTTGCTTTCATCATGATGCCTCCAGATGTTTCAGCTTCCTAGCAACATTTCAGGCCAAGTCATGGTACCCAAATAATCAGATGGTCTGAAATAGGAGAAAAATCAATGGGCGATTCTCTATACATCGGCTGAATCAAATTTTGGCGCAAACCATTCATCTAAAATAAGAAGGGTTCAGCTTGTGGTCTCCTAATTGGCTCGTCGCAATTTTTAGACATGTGCCTTGGGTAACCTCTACCACAGCATATCAGGAAAGAAAATGTAGCAATTTTCGATAGTTCAATACAACAAATTTAGGTAAGTTGCTTACCTCGGAGGAGGCGGTGATGTCTGAATTAGGAATATCCTCGCTTTGTAAACCAAGAGGTGAGTTGCAGTCTGAAATTGCAAATTGTGTTGTTAAAGAGCACAGAGCAGAAAAATTAAAACCAAAGTTGACTTTTATAAGGAGTGGTTATAACAACTGATAGTCGTCCCATTGCTTTCTTTATCGATATCCGATCAACATTTTGGATAAGAAAAGATCAAAGAGAGCGTTGCTTTTTCATCATCACTCGCTGTTTATTTCCAAATATAATTATTTTCTTTACGGAAATTAATCGTTGGAAAACAAATCCCCTCTGAGAATGTTAATTTGATTTTTATTCATAAACATTGTTTCTTTACAAACTCTCTATAAGTAAACTCTAATAATTCCTGTCTCCATGATTATTCTTAACATGTTTATACATACCTCCATGGACAAATCCTGTGAAGAATATCAAACAAAAAGCAGAAAGAATATAAGTTTGGTCATTAACACCAACGTATGTCTTAACTACCTCAGCCCAAGAATCAGCGCTGTAAGCAAGGGTTCAGGGCGCAATTATTTCCATTTCATAGGGTTTTCAGAAGGTATACTATGATATTGATCAGGTTCATGAAATAGGTACCATCTTGCAATTAAGGGTGCATAAAAGCAGTACCTCAAAAAACTTAAGGGTTGGGCCTGAAGGCGGAGTCTAAACATCCCCCAAGTTAGTCCTAAAGTAAAGTATTGACCAGACAAGTTTTTCCCTCAGTGACTCGCTTTTCTTATCCTTCAGGCGTTTTTGAATTTTCTGCCCTTCCTTTACAGAAAGCTTAAACACTTTCATGAATGAAAGGTAAAGGTAATTGTAAAAGGTTGGAACCACAATTAAAATACCTAGGCGCCGCATCCTAAGGCTGGAGTAATAGAGCTTGGGAATAAAACAGCTCTAAGGAAATATTGTATCTAGATTGACCTGTTTTGAAATACTAGTTTTTTTGGACGTTTCAACTGATTACTTGCTCAACTAGGTAACACTAATAACCTGCTATCAGGTCCTCTTTTTTTCTATGGATGGCATAGCGGCACAGGAGTCGTTGCCTCCCCGGATAATAATAATTGGTTATTCAGATACATAGAATTTACTACAGCTTTTTTCTCTTTGATTTATTTTTTAAAATTCGTGTCATCAACATTGTAGGTCGTCTTGGGCGAATGTAAAAACTAATGGAGAATACGTTTAAAAATCCTTGGTTTACACTCGGCCAGAGCCTAGAACTGTGTACTTACCAATTAGAAGAATAACTTCGAAAAGAACGATCTTATTGAAGCTGAAGACACTCATAGTGGTGGTTCTCCAAAGCACTGTGAGGTTGAATGCTAAAGTTAGTGTTTCAAACCAGTTTTTCTACCCCAAATTTTGCATGGCTAATTACGTTAAATTAGAAATGTGTCTTTTGCAAACATACGGCTAAGTATAAACAATTCATATGATTTTTAATAAGATTAGTGTTTGTAAGTTGTCTCTTTTCATCCATTGACTGCTACAAAAATGGAGGCATAAAACATAGTCAGCTTTCCTAATCAGTGTTTATAATGTAGAAAGTTTGCGGGGTATTTTTTTGTAAGTTTTCATTTTTTTTATCTCGGCTCCTACTTATTGCATAATCTACGAACAGTGGGTTTTTCCAACAGGAATATTTGTCTTGATAAGTGTACACACCTGCTTGGCGTGTTATTAGAAAACGTGTGATGTGTGATGTGTTTAATTTGGTATAAAATATATTTGCTTCCGTTTTTCAAGTGGAATTAACGTTTTTCTTTTAAATTAAAACCCGCATTTGTAAAGAGGTACACACACAAGGCTTATTGATAACAAGCTTTTATTAGGCTGACCGCAAGATGCACCGCTTTAATGCTTGGAAGGAGTGTTTTCTTTCCTTTTACTAAAATTTCCTTTGTAAAAACTCTCGTTTGCCTTAGCATTGTATAATCTACGAGCAATGAGTTTTTCAAACAGCAGTATTTGTCATGATAAGTGTACACACCTGCTTGGCGTGTTATTAGAAAACGAAAAGCGTGAAGTGTTGAAGGCACGCATCCAAATAGCCCATGTCGTGAGCCACTTTTCGACACTTTGCCAAAAAGATTGTAGCTCGATGGTTAATGATTGCTGTCGAAGTTTCTTGTCTCATTGCCTTATGCCGTTACAGCTTCTATTTAACAAATGGATTCCAAGTTGCCGTGTGTCTGTTCAGTAATAGATCACAGATGACGTCAAAATGTGGTAAGAACAAAAAAGTGGCACACGAGGCGCAGCCGAGTGTGTCACTGATGTGATTAGGTCTTGTGTGTGTAGCTCTTTACAAATGCGGGTTTTAATTTAAAAGAAAAAACGTTAATTCTTCTTCAAAACGGAAGCAAATATATTTTATACCAAATTAACGAACTTCCAGACTTGATAAAAGCCAGCTTATTTGTGGTAAGGTGCATGGCTTTGTTTTTTCTGGGACTCTTTGATACGCGGACTGATAAGAAGCAACTAAATTGCTGCTAGATTTCAGTGGCTAAGCGACTTGATGATACTATAGGGCTACAGTTGTACGCGATTACATGTCAGTCCCTTCTGGGTTGGCCGCTAACTGTATAAATCGTTACGACATGACAAGATAGCTACATAGCTCCATCAGTACGTGACCACATGGTTGCCTAACCGTGTAGGACACTTGTTTATGTGACTACAACTGAAGAGGATTAAAAGTGGCCAATTCACAAAGGCTGGCCGCTTGACAGAGGGTCACTCAGTGGAGGTTTGACTGCATAACACCAACTTATTACTAGAAGCCGCCAATGAAATTGATGGTAAACAGCAAGGAGACCTCAGCTGAGTATCAAAAGAAATTGAAATTAAGTCACTTAGCCATTACCATTCAATAACAGGATGTGAATTCCTTTGATAAAACCGGCTGTCGATTAGTGTATTAGTATCTCCACCGATAAAATAAAAACAGAACGCGGCATGAGGACAAATCAAGCTGGAATAGCGTCACAATACGTAATAAGCGGATGTAAATTCTTCCGCTGAGTGTACTTCACGGAAACAAAGACCAGGGGAGCAGATGTAAATTCCATCACCCAGTTTAATCTTACTGTTTATCATTTTGAGCAATAGAAGGAATATAACTGTGATAGAACTTCTATTCCATAAACTGTATTGTCACATCAAGAACATGACGATGACTTTTTCAGTCCTTCCTGTTATTTTTTAAGTGCACGAGTTTCTGTCTTTTGTTGGTTTCCCAATGATTGATGAGAGTATCTGACCATTTTGTGGTAGGAAACTGGTAACTAAGAACATGATGATGTAATGCTCTGCAGCGCTTGAAATATTAAGTGAAAAACGCAACATCATAGCACATTCAGCGATAGAAGCCTATTACCAAGGGTGAAATAAGGTAGCGGAGAGTTATTTAAAATCCAAACACACCATGATAAGGCCGGATGTTGAAAATTTTTGAGTACTATAGAGGTTTCGGAGGTCATTACTACTCAGTGTCACAAAGAATATCAAATTGCGGAACATTTCGAAATTTGCAATCAATACCTCAGCCTAGTCAGCTAACAGATATTTAAGCAGTAAAACTGGTTGGGTAAAGACACAGCTCTTCGACTATCCTTCCATCAGGACCGGAGATATACAGAGAAACATGAGTGATGCGTCAACTCTCCCAACGAAATTTTACAAAGACTTTGGAATCGATCCAGATTCGTTTCGATCAGCATTCCAAGATGCTGGTAACGCAATGTATCGCTTAAAACTTGGTTGGTCATTAGGCTTTACTCATGCGGTGTTGACAACCGGTGATAAACCTAAAACAGTGGCTTCAGTTGGAGGGCATCCCCTAGAGGCAAGTGCTGCCGGTGAGTTGTGGAAAAAGTGCACTAAAGGGAAACCTGTCACTGAAGAGTATTGCTGTGTACATAACTGCACCAACCCTAAATGTAAACCAACGAGCCCTCAAAAGGCAGGAGCCACTGCACATGTCTACGCTTCGTTTCAAACGCGAGAAAAAGACATCCGCTTCATGATACTACTCCCAACATGCAGTGCTGATAACCATGCAGGAAAATGTCGCAAAGAGGAAGTCAACTTTGCTGAAACAGGCAAAGACGCGTATGTGTTGTACACAGCTCTTAGTGATCCGCCTCCTCGAGTTATCTTCATCGAAGTATCAGACGCCACGGCTTCTGGAAAAGGCAGTAAGGGTAAAGGCACCGGGAAAGGCGGAGGATTGAAAGATGATTATTACCCTGGTCCACCAGTAGGAGCCAAAATAGCTGGTGTGCGCAAGTGAGACGATGTTAGCAAGATAGAGTGAGTAATGATGATTCATATCATCGATTTAAGACTAAACAGTTATAAAGATACTTTTCTAATAAGGAACGGAAGAGTAAATTGTAGTCTCGTCGGAATTATATGCTGAATAGTACAAGCCTTTCTAACCTAACAAAAAAATTATTAAGTAAGTATGCAATGCGATTAGAATGCCCTCAGTTGGCGTTGTTGTATTTGTAATGGTTTCCTCAGTCCTCAGTGTAAGGCATAATTTACGTGTAACGGATGCAACTTAAATAAGTAATAGAAAAGAAGTTTGATAAAGGCTTGCTGTTCATATTTCGAACATCTGCAGGGGCTTTTAATCTTTCAACACCCAGGAAGTAAGGGAGGGTAGGAAGGGGGAAGCTTCTGATCCCGTTTCACGCACGAACTTGTGAGGAACTCATGTGCCACGTTTCAAATTTCTCTACTTGTGTATAAGATTTCGGGGAAATCATGAGATTTCACGCTAGTTCATAAATTCACGAATCACGCTTGCTCTTCCGTAGAATTCACGCGTCACATGTTGATTTTGGATTTGATGATGCGTCTCCTATAAACTCTTTTCCACCCTCGCAAAGGCAACGGAATTGCACCACGACTGCCAAACCTCTAAGCAAGGGTCACCGAATGACGAACAGTGTAACAAAATGCCTGACAACTCGCTCATGCATAGGAATCTTTGTTAGAGTTATTCCCCTGGGGAGGAAATCATGAGTCTCAAAAAAAGAAAAAGACGCGATTGCTGCAAAAGAGAAACCAATTTATTAACTGTATTGAGACGAAAGTTAACCCTAAGCATATCAGAAAGTAAACTTGAAAAACTGTCCTAGCCCTTTGGCTTATCGTTACTCGCTAAGTTCTCTGCATCGTTAAGTTTGCGTTAAGTAACAAATATTTCCCGCTGCACAAGTACCTCTAAGGATGACCGACACAGTTTCATTATTCACGCGAACGTACCGCTGTTCTCGATTCAAATTTTCTTTTTTGTCCTTGCTATTTTAGGTAGAATAACATCTTACAAAATCTTAGGTGATTCGCACGTGCGCCAAATTAGTTTAGCCTTTCCAGCTTTGCAGATATCACTTCGCTGTCTTTGTAAGCTAAGAGGTACATGACATGTCAAAATGATGTAAAAACAAAAAGTTGCACACGAGACGCAGGCGAGAGTGTAACTGATCATTGATTCTCTCAACACTTCAAGTTGACTTAGTATCCGATCTGTTACCAAAAGGGCCCACGGCATTGAATTTATCTGTCCGTTAGCTGGACAGTGGTAAAATACTTCGTGAAAAAAACTGTGTACGTATGTTCAATGTCGGTTACACTTTCTAGATCCTTAAATCCCTCAAATGTTTGTCTTTTTTTCTGAAATAGTATGTAACGAATTTATCGCACGTGGAGTCAAGTGAGAAATTACAGTCAACTTGGAATCGCTATCTAAATTAAAGTCGTTTCGTTCTAAAACGGACTGTTAGGATGAAACTGGTTGATTTTTTGACTACATTAACGATTTCGCTCATTAAACCTACAACGCACTGTCATGCTGATATGCCTTGTTATCAGATCCAGGTATTTGTCCATACATTGGAGACACATAGCTCTGTAAAACATAGATAACCAAGATCAGTTAGGCGAGGATAAATCAATATAATTATCTTAGAGACCATCTATTTTTTATCGCTGGGAGGGGGAATGTGGTCGCGTTACAAGAAAATCTACCTAAGGCTCTATGGCGTTCTAATGATCCTCCCCCACCCCCCTCTCATTGGCAGTCAATTTTCTGAGTTCTCTCATTTATACTCTGCTAGCAACGAATGGCACCCCCCGTTCCCCTGGAAATCCATGTGATCTCAAGAAAACACTGCTCAACAAACCTGCGGTCCGTTACGACTCTTGTAACCAGACTGAGCCCTCAAGCCATTATGCCCGTTCTCCATTACTTCCCATTCTCCATTAAGGGCATACAACTCCTTCTTTTCACCCTGAACAGCGTTTCTGTATTTCACCTGTTCAAATAGAGACGAGTAAATGAAAAACACGCTCGTGCAACTTTTAAGCAGTAAACTACACAGCCTGTGTGTCTAAATGTCTTTGTTGCGATGACGCTTCAAGATAATTTTTAGTCCTTGACATGATAGAAATATGTCGGAGCCATACCGTACGCCATCATGTTCTACAACCAACCTATCGTAATGATGATAAAAATTTTCGCACCCAAGAAATGAATAGAAAGTTCAATTTTTTCCCACCACTTCTCTCAAATGCCTTCTGCAGCCTCCATACCCCACCCAAATAAATGGCGCGACAGTAAAGTTCTCAATCATTTGATTTCGAGTGAGCAACAATTGACACCAAGAACTTAGACCAGCCAATTACATCAATGTAATTGAAACAGGGTGTGTATGAGTATCTGTCGCCGAGCACGCCAAATTCGATCCTTTCAGATAAGTCCATGATTGGTAGTTTTGATGATTCAAATACGCATCGCAAGATGCAAAGAAATTATCTGAATACTCACTGCCAAAACGCCAATAGCCACCAATAGAAAAAAGACAATTGTTGCAGCTGCGATTAGCACGATCTCCCAGTCCTTGATTGTCGATTTTTCTGTAAAAAGAAAGTGAGAGAGAGAGTCTTAAGAACAGGAGATCTTATAATAACTGAAGATGGCGCAAAACATCATGCAGATAAATGTTTTTTTAGTC